TCGCGTGGGGCGTAACAAAGAAAAAGCACCTTTGTACTTTTTACAAATTCTATTTAACTTGAGCTAAGTAAACGAAAGAGATAGATTACCCCTACCAGTCTAGTTCGACGGCAGTTGAGGGAGAATTTCTTTTGGTCTTTATACAATGGAAAATATGTCTGCGTATGAGCTCTACATGTCTCTTGACAAGGATGCAATTGACAGTGTTAGTGCCGATGAACTGTACCCTTATCTGTTGAAATACTACCCAGACTTGCCTAAATGTGATTTCCTCAAACGATTTGAGGTGTCGGACTCAGATCACGATGGAGAACTTGATCTACAGGAAGTGGGGGATTTAATGCGCGATCTTTCACTGGATCAGCTCTTAAAAGACCTTGACAAGAATGAAAACGACCTTGTTAATGCCGACGAACTCTATCCTCATCTGTTGAAATCCCTACCACAATTAGGTGAAGATGATTTCCGCACAATATGTGCTGAGTTTGACGTCGACCAATGTGGAGAACTTGATCTACAGAAAGTGAAAGGTTTAATGTACAATCTTTCACTGGAATAATGTATCGTCCTTTGGAAGGTCCTGCAGCTTTTAAATTGGTTTTAGAGGGCTGTTAATGATTAAAAATGTGCATAGTAGTATGTAGATATTCGGCTTCGTCTTCTTCTTCTTACGTGTACACAAATATAAACCTAATTTGCTCGTGTATCATTGACGCGTACTTTAAACCTTTGCGTTTTTTTTTTAACCTAGCCTTACCCACAAGCCCTGTAAAAGCAAAAAAATTCATTTTTGAAACCAGCAGAAGGTGTAGGTTCCTGCAGAAAAAAATGTAAGAGTGGACTTTTCTGTAGTTGCGATAGGATTTATCAATACCCCTACATGTATAGCAGATTTTTACGGTCTTGATTTTCAACGATCTTTAGAAATACGCGCAGTGGAAAACCAACACACTGCTGTGGGCTGTTAGTGAGCCTAAAAGAGAAGCATGATAAAAACTGAGGAACTACTATCGCAATTTCAACGACATGTTTCAAACTGTCAACCAATACGACGCCAACTAACTGCCTTCGCATGTCGATGTGGACGGCGAAGTGTTGAAAGAACAACCGAGATGGATATACAGTATGTGCTAAAAAATGCGGTCAAAACTTTGTTGTTACTGCGTTTTATGTTGAAACACTTCATGAGTTAGCTAAACATAATTTTTAAAAATGAAATTTTTCCTTGTTTCGGACTATAGGAGGGATATTTCGAAAACGTTTCTTTCTTATTTAGGGTTCTGCCATAGCATAATGTATAGGAAAAAATGGCTTCTCCCGATTTAGCCAAAATCTATGCCCATCACCCTTAATAAATTAAATAAAAGGGCAGTTCTCCTTAGTTAAAGGATTTCTCAGGATTAAATCCACCCAGTGAATCAACATTGTGTGACGAAATATTAGCTGCACTTCCAAGTCAAATTTCATCATAAAGTTTGCTTGCAGCTCTTGCTATACTGTAGGTTGACACGTCATATACTTCATGTCCACTCCAAACCTCCATGTAGACATCAGGTCATTTTGCAACATGTCAATCCTTTCTCGCTCTAGGTTACTAATTTTGTTCGAGTGACCTTGACCCTCGGTGGTGAGAGCGCAGTCCTCTTGCCGTGCCCCATCGCCCACGTTCACGCACAATCGATCCAAGTTAGCTGAGCCGTCGCAAAACCAAACACGTTGGTTGGTCGCATCATCACATGCGTTGTTAGGGCATCAATAAA